TGAGGAATTATGGAAGCAAGAAGGCAACTCGGACCCAAGACTTCTTCTCTGTCCTTCTCCATCTCCTTGCAAGGTTCCGGGAAAGGTACATTCAGCTAGCTGTCCCTCAAACATGTGGCACAATTAGATCCCTGTCTCTTTCCTGGTCAAGAGGCATAGCCCCAATATTCCCTGGGACCCACACATATACACAGTAGAGGGTATTATACTTCTCATCACTTGTCACCCCAAGTCTAGCCGAAGCTTCAGGTTGGACCACATGTCCCAGTAGGTAAGACACATCTGGACAAAATAAAGAGGTCAGGTACTCTAGTCTAACCAATTGTCCCTGGACTCAACAGTGTGTTTCTTGTTCAGTGCAAACCACTAGGTTCAGTGTTAGAGAGGAAGAAATGCTTTTGTGTATACATTACGTCACGTGCTGTTTGGGCTCACTGAGAAGTTGGCTTTGGAGGTGGGATTTGGCCCTCCTTCCCACCATGTTTTGTCTCAAAATGTCTTCCAATGTACTCTTTCCTAAGTCAGTCTGGCCCTGACACTGTGACAGGAAGAAAGGGCAGCAAAATGACCAGAGTAAAGGCCTCTATTATTCATCTCACAAATAATAAAGCTATGTCTCTGCTACATAATGTCCATTCAAAACCAAAAGCAGTTACAGGCGATCACTCCATGTACTATATGAAGTCTGTCCTGTGTATGTGGGAACCTACAAGCCCCATAGTTTACCAGCATGTACACAGGTAATGATTTATTATGTATGCAGTTTGGGTTTAATGTTATTTTATTAAGGTGTTGATGTTATTATGTTCCATAAGATGGCTAGATGTGTTTCCAAAAATGAAAAAGCTATAAAGTGACAAGGACCTGAGCAAGTTATATAAGATATGTAGGCCAGAGTTCAATATACTGATGTCAGACCTTGGCTTAAGTCGATGGTTACTGGTCTATTTTCTGTACAAGAACTGGCTTAAAAAACAAAAATGTACATATCTAATCAAAGAAGTGCTTGGATTTTGCACAAGCTGTATCTAATATTCCACAGTTGTTACAGTAGCAGATGCCTTCTGGGTGTTCAATAACCACATTCAGAGGCTATGCTAATGTGGTCAGAGGGATGAGATGGCCGAATCTCTCCACCTTGCCCTCCAAAGTCAATTAGGTTTTGGGGAACTGTAGGGCATCTCTCAAATGTTAACTGTGGGGGAATCTCCTATTCCTTTGTTCAGGGCCACAGATACACCACATGGTGAACTCTACCTAGTGTACAGTCTACAAAGCAAAGGGTCAATACAGAAGAAAAATGTGCTCCATGTTTCCAAGCAAAGCCCAGGTCAAGCAAGGCCTTTGACTTGTTCTCACTCAGGTGGAAAATCTGGTACAAGGAGTCTAGAGGAGCCCACGGTTCTCAAGTGTGTGACCCCTGAGGACCAGATCTTCAAATGGCCTTGACAGTGAAAAAACATAAGGCCACATCTATGGTCTTGAACACCCAGGAGGAAAGTATAGCCAAGCAGTTTAAGGCAGTGGTTCTCAACCTGTAGGTTGTAACCACTGGAAAACACTTATTTCTGATGGTCTTAGGCACTGAGACACCTCTCAGTAGCAAAATTAGTTATGAAGTAGTGATGAAAATAAATTTATGATTGGGGGTTCCTAAGACCATTGGGAATGGAATGTGTTTTCTGGTGTTTGAGATCCAGAGGTTGAGAACCACTGGTTTAAGGGCATCATATTCCCTGTACATTAGGCTTAGAACCATGAGATGTTTACACTGCCTCTAACAATTTTTTACTGAGAAAAATGCTGCCATGATAGGGCACTAAGCCCTTGCCTGAAGTTCTCCAACACTGCAGCACCCACCTGCAGCCAAAAGAGGCAGACTTAAAAAAAAACAAAAACCCAAAACTAGGAAAATGAAAGTTAAATTTCTTCTCTTTCTGCCTCTCTAGAAGCTGCCTGGGAGGGACCTCGAAGTGAGTCTATGCACTCCAACAGCCCTGAAATGCCTGTAAGCAGATCCCGAAACAGGGTCCTCTCCAGAACCACTGGACTGAAGGTAGGGCCTGGTATCAGAGGTGCTTTATGGACCAAGGTGCCCAAACCTTTCTGCCTCCACGTCCCAGGTTTTGGAATTAGAGGGGTAAAGTTATTCTGTCCAGCTATTTTAACTTCTGGAATTTTAATTTTTTTTTTTCTTTTTCGAGACAGGGTTTCTCTGTGTAGCTTTGGAGCCTATCCTCTATCCTGGCACTCGCTCTGGAGACCAGGCTGGCCTCGAACTCACAGAGATCTGCCTGCCTCTGCCTCCCGAGTGCTGGGATTAAAGGCGTGCGCCACCAACATCCGGCTCCATTTTCAGCTTTTCTATCATGGGGATGTGCTGTGTTTTAAACCTTTCTAAAGGAGAAACAGTTGAACTCCAGGTGGTGTGGTGCTCGGTCAGTGGTGCTTGCCTAGCAATGAGAACATTCTGAATCCTGTAAACTAAAGCATTTACGTTCCACTAGAGTGAAGGTACACAGAGGCAATGTGAAGGGACAGTGAGCCCCCCTAAAGGAGGGGGGCAGGAACAGACTCCCCAGTAACCTTCCAGCCCTCAGCATATCCTGCTTGGCAGAGGCCATACTCACAAACCAGGTTTTGGAAAACAGCGCTCACAGTTGCTGCTGGTGGTGGGTGTTTCTGTGTGCAATCCAGGGCCTCACCAGGCAAGTGTGAGCCTCCAAGTCAAATCCTAAGCCCTGGAATTTGGCTGAGGTGGGCCCTTATTCACTACTAGAAACTCAGGAATGTGTCATTGAAGTATTCCAGGTTTTTAAAAGGTAGAAAGCTGGATGTATGTAGGAGAATGTATTCAACTTTTTTTTGGAGACAGAGTCTCTCTGTAGCCCAGGCTGTCCCAGAGCGTCACCTACCTCTACCCCCCAGAGATTAAAAACATGTATCACCTTCCCCAGCTTTATATTTGAATTTTTTGACACAGGTTTCACAAAACTATGTAGCCCAGGCTACCCCTGAACTCTCATTCCTCCTGTCCTAGTCTCCCCGGTATATTGTCAAGTCTGTCTTGGGAATCAGATCTGGCTAGATTTCTGACAGAGGGCTGACCCTAAATGCCTAGGCTCAAGAGATACTCCTGCCTCAGCCTCCTTCTGTTTCATCTGCCTGCAAGTATATCACAATGCCCAGGAAAATGTAATTTTTAACAATGAAGCCTGTGCCAAGCGGCAGGAGAAGGAAGGAAAGCAACAGGAGCAGGTCAATAAAACCTCAGTGGACACACTAAATCATTACTGTTTAAAGTGGACAGTAGGGGGCAGTCTTTCAGGCTTATGTATGCTGGGTTAACACGTTCTGACACCAGAAGAGAAAAGCTGCGAAAAGTGATTTGGGCTGCTGCTCTTAGGGAACATGTTTTCCATTCCATGTCCACCTTTCCCAATACTGTGGTTAAGGAAAAGATCACACTAGGGCAGGTATTCTAGGGTTAGGCATGAAGGCACCCCTGCCTCTAAGTACCATGAGGGTCCAATGAACACAGAGAATATCCCCACACAGCCAAGGTCTGCAAGAAAAAGAAAAGACAGGGCAGCTGTTCTTTGTTCCTGTTAAATTTTATTGGCATCACGTTCGTCTCTTTACAGAAGAACTCGGCCTACACCCTAGAATGTAGACTTGTGGAGGGAAAGTGCTCTGGGAAGCAAGCCATGATGCAGGGCAGGACCTCGGGAGGGGACAGAACTGCCAGGGCTCAACCCAAGAGACGGGTGGGTTAGTGCTGGGCCACACTTGGGTGGAGTGGGGAAAGGAGGAGGGGTCTGCTAACTACAGGTACCACAACCCTGAAAGGAGCGCCTTCTAGAACAAAGGTAGAGTCACTAGGACAGGTCTGGTGGGGGTCTCCTTTTCTCTTAGAGTAGGATATCGATCTAAAGGGCATAGTGAACTGTAGAACGGAAGGGGGAAAAAACAAAAGGGAAAAAATTTAATTTTTGAAATAACAGCAATTTATCCATTGTACACACTACTGTATTATGCAAATCAACCTTTTGGAAAATTTAGACACAGAAGAGAACTGTCTAGTTCAGTTTTCCCTCTGGAGAGATGAAAAGCTTTTTGGCTCGTAAGTCTTTGATAAAAGGCGTACATAATTCTTTTGTCTACTGTACAGAATACTGCCGCTAGCTGGACTTCCAAATTTGAGTCTCTAACACTCTTGTAATCCAGACAGGGTTCAACCCTCCACCTTGCACGCCTGCATTAGAGGACTTAAACACACAATCCAGGAATTCCTTACACTAATTTATACATTTTAATTGGTTGCATATATTAACATGTACTATAAGATTCTTTTCTAAGAAGCATTACATAATAAATGGATACTGTAAAAAGATCTGATTAGTTAAAAGTAACAAGCATTAACAGATACATACAAAACAGCCTGTTCAGAATGGAGCGGGGGCACCAGCCTTCCCACAGGACCTTCAAGGTGGGGTAGGGGTAAAAGACCACAAGACCGTTAAAAAAAAAATCAGATAATTAGACACAGATGAACTGTGAACAGTTCTCTCACTCTCCAGTGGACAAAAAAAGTAAGCGTTCCATGCCCACTGTACCCCAGAGCACCCAGGGTCTCTGCCATATGCCATACACAGAGCTCATGGTGGGTAACTGCCCCAAGAGCCTATCAGGCACAGGCTAGAGTTTGCTTGCTGTGTGTTTGTGTGTGTGTGTGTGTGTGTGTACGCACGCACATGTGGTGGATAACTGTTTGGTGGAGTTTCTTTTGGCAGCTGGATGTGAGAGACCACGTTCTGTTCTGTTTAGAGGAGGAGGGACGCATGTTGAAGGCCTACGTGTGTTCTTGGTCTGTGAAGGACTCTGTGCTCTGTGCTCACTGCCCCTTCAACAACTGCAGCTCTCTGCAGAGGCCTTGACCCGGTCATTCTTGTCCAGTTTGATGGGTTCAGGGAATTCATTGTATAGCTCCACTTCTGTTTCCTGGTCAGGGGAAGAGAGAGAGAGGGTGACAGCGTGGGACATAAGGAAATTCCAGTCTTCAGATTTGTCCTATGTGTACACACAGAAGGGTGGCAGACTGTAAGGTGGTTTGGTCAGCAGGAGCCATCCCACACCATCAGCCAAGGGAGCACACTGATATTTTGAGCACATGGAGCACACGGCTACTGTGCTTCCTCTCCAGTGTCTCAGGATGCTTCCCATGCTACCACATCCCACAGAATTTTCCAAGGCTTGTTTCCCACATGTTGTGGCCTCAGGGGCAGAGCTGTGGGTAATGTCATCACCTATGCTGAGTGCCCACACACCAAGCCTTGGGGCCCACCTCTCAGCACTGTACCCAAGAAGGAAAGTTTAGTACCAGTGTGTAACACAGTAGTCAGTTTTAGTGTACTTACAAAACTGGACCACCATCACATCATCTCTGAACACTCATCACCCCAAAAGAAACTCTGTCCCCTCCAAATGTAGGAGTGGAAGCCAGGGCTTCACATATGCTAAGTAGGCACTCTTCCTATGAGCCATGTCTCCTTTCTGTAGTTATACACACAGGGCCATCCCTATCTTCTTTTTTTTCTTACTCTGTAGATTAGCCTGGCCCTGTATTTGTGTGCAATCTTCCTACTTCTATAAGGATAACAAGCAAGCATAATTTACTCCACTTTAGAAAAGTTCCCTTTTAACGGACTTCTAAGATACAGGGTCTTATTGAGACAGGCTTCATTTCAGCCTCTGTGTTAGAGCCTTGCTCCGCTCCACTGCTCTTGTGGCCGAATAGCATCCATCTGTACATTTGTGTTGTTTTGACTGTCAGTACTGATATGTGCATGGTGTCAGCCCAAAGTTTGTATGTAGAAACCCTAGCCTCCAGTGTGCCTATGCCTGGAGTATACAGATTAGACAAGGTTATCTATGGCATCTGGTCTCATAGAGCTTTCACGTTTCTTTTTCATCCAAGGCTGGCTTTGAACTCGCTATGTATCAGAACTTGAACTCTAAATCCTCCTGCCTCTACCTGGTACTGGGATTACAAGGCATGTATTACCATGCAGGTTTATGTCATACTGAAGCTGGATCCCAGGGTCTCATGAACTCAGGAGAGCACTCTATACCCACTGAGCTCAAGTTCCAGAGCTTACTAGAGATGTTGTTACTGAGACACCTCACAGGGCTTATCACTCTTGCTCCCTCAGCAAAGCAGCCCTGTTTGGACACAGCATGAAGACAGCCATCTGCATAACAGGAGAATCCCCTATCTGAAACCCAGTGAGTCAGCACCTTGGTCCCAGACTCTAAAATTGTGACAACAAAATAAAATGTCATATGTATAAGCTGTCCGATATGTGGTATTTTGTTATGGCCCACCCAAGTATTCCAACAAAAATCTCAACAGGCTTTCTCTTAGCTGGGAGAGAGTTGGAAGGTAGTTACAGGTAAGCAGAACCACATACTAAAGATAGTGAAATAGAGATGGTCCAGGTAAAGCAGTGGCCTCCAACATGTGGGCTGGGATCCCTTTTGGGGTCACACATCAGATATTTACAATTCGTGAAGCAGCAATGAAATACTTTTATGGTTGGGGGGGCAATGAAATACTTTTATGGTTGGGGGGTGTCACCACAATTTGAGGAACTATAATTAAAGGGCTGACGTAAAGGAACCCAGACACTGCCAAGACAGTCCAGGAATTCTGGAGGAAGAGCATGAGTGCTTTAACAACTGGTCACACTTCAAGGGGACAACAGCTATTTCCCAGCACTCACTCCCACTAGGAATGTGGGTTCTCAGGAGGGAAAAGTGACCAAAGCTGAGTTATACCCAGACCTTTAAAATGTATCTGACAGGAAGAGGACTTTTTCTTGTTGCTGAAGCTGGCCTTCAACTCCTGATCCTCCTGCCTCCACTTCCCAATGTTCTACCACATCTGGTCTCTACTTTCAATGCAGCCCAGGCAGTCCTGGATCTTGCCATCCTCCTCTCTTCTTATTTCAGCTCCCTAAGTGCTGAAATGCCAAGCAGACCCTACCACACCAGCTAAGAGCCCTTTTCCCCTAGGGCCAAAGTCTATCAAAAACAAGAGTTGGGAGATGGGACGGAAGATGGATGGAAGGTAGGCAGAGGTGTAGTATCTACTCACAAAGAGTTGATAAGGTCACTCTGGGCACATTCCCGAGGACCACCTGTGAAAGGACCATGTGTTGGTGTGGTCAGGACTCTTGGTGAGTCAGGGAACTAAAAAGCCCCATACTAAAGGTTTGGAGAATTCAAAAGGAGACCTAGGTTCCTCTTTCCAGGAAAGAGAAGATGAAATATTAAAAAGGATAACAAACCTCATGAGAAAGAGCAAGGGGTCAGCCAAGATTCTGTGCTGGCCATTCAAAGACCACTGTTGTGGGATATTTTGATAGCACTTACTGATTGGTTTGAGCTCTCTTGGTTCTGGAATAAGGGAAGAGACGTGTTTCTTAGGGTGTATCCAGCCAAAAAGGAAGGTCAGCTAGTTGCTACTCAACCTCTCTGAGCTAGCAGGTTTTCACCCCAGCCTTTGACTTCCTAGTCTTATTGGTAAATAGAATGATAGAGACTCAATTTAAAACTACTGGGGGGGGGGGCGCACTGACAGAGGGGCTGTGGGGTGGCATACAATGATGAGAGGCTCAGAGGGACAGTGCTATGAAGATGGCAACTGACAGAGCCAGCAGTTAAGTGTTGTGGTACCACCCACAGCTGGGGAGCTTCCCTAGGTGAACTACCCAGCCTCATCCAAACAGTGGGTCACCTCACAGAAAGAGGAGCGGCAGGTGGAGGGAGCCTGACAGTGGTGCCAGTCAACACAACAGAAACGGGAGACACTTCCATGTGTTTGGATTTCACATGGATACATGCATGCTAAGAAAAATCCAGGTGGGAGGGGAGATTGGGGTGGTGGTGGAGGACACCAGAAGAAAGCATATTTTTGGGGGGGGCTTTCTTGGCATTTGGATGAACTGTCCTACCTGGGTAGGCCCACCACTGTCATGAAGCACTTTGTATAGCCCCTCTAAGCCAGGACTCCCACCTCTGGAACAATTCATAGCAAATCTCTGCCACCCACACAGCCACTAGTTCTGGTCTGCTGGGAATCAATGCATTATCAACCCAGCTTCCTAGAGATGGGAGACCCTGTCTTGACTTTCAAATTACCACCTACCTCATGTATCACTGCAGACCCATGCTGTTTTCTATATCGTGCATGATGACACCTTGTGGCCTGCTTTAATTTTCCATGGCCCTCAAAAATGCTGGTAGCCCAAGCTTACATTTTTAAAAAACTTCCCCCATACTATAACAAGCCCCAGGATCTTGCATATGCTAAGCAAACTCTCTAGATTGGCCACACTTCCAGCACTACTATGTTGTCCTAGCTAGCCTTGAATTTGCCATGCTGTCTCAGCTTCCTCCCCTGGCACACAGTATCTTCTCTAGAGGAGGGTAGCTGAAAGCTCTGAGTTCCCTGACGGTTTTCTTTTTATTTCTTATTTGTGTATATAAGTAACTACTCTCAGGAAAGTGCCACTTCATGGTTTGAGAGCTGAGTCAGGGGACCACCATCACGCTACATATGGCCTTGCTTGAGGTGGGGGGCAGAAGCTCAGACACGGCTAGATGGCAGCTGGGATCTGACTGAAGTTCATCTCATTAACTAGAAGCATTGCTTGGCAAGAGGCCTCAGGTGGCTTGATCTCCTAAAAGTCCAGGAGCAAACAAGCCCACACCTCTTTCACCATGTGTCTGTTTTGTTCCCCCAAGGTCTTCCATGTCTGAGACCAGGCTGCCTGGAAGGCTCTGTATCTTAGGTAAGTGTTTTATCACCAAGCCATACCCTAGCTCTGCCCTGTCTTTTAGATGACTAACAAAGCTGTGATCTCCTAAGGACGGAGGCAGAATATGTTATGACCTACCCATCTGGAGAAGCACCTTACGTTTTCCCAGGTGCAGCTTGGGAAGAAAAACATCTAGGAAAGAACACAGGACATCACCAGAGTGTGCCTGCAGCTGCAGAGCCCTGCACCCACCTGTTTAAGGGCATTCCGAGCAATTGTCTGGAAGGCCTGCTCCACATTGATGGCTTCCTTGGCACTGGTCTCAAAGTAGGGAATGTTGTTTTTGCTGTAGCACCAAGCCTGTGCCCTCTTTGTGGCCACCTACAGGAGGGAGGACATTACTGCCATGAACAGCTCCAAGACAAGTACACTGGTGAGAACAGATCTGGGGGTGAGGATGAGTGTGGCCTATAGACCCAAAGGTCGGGTCACTCTGTTGTCCATGTGAGGGATCCAAGCTTGAGCTATTTTGGTCCACAGCCAGACCTTATGGCCCTTAGCAGTGTGCCACAGGCCAGGAGCCAATCCCAGGAGGTGGAAGGTGGGTCCATGACAATCTCTGGTATATACCCCTTTCCACTTGCTCATCTTGAGCCACCTAAAGAAATGGCAAGTGGCACGGATTTTGCAGCGCTCACCCTTAGATCTTTCCTTCCCTTGCCCCAGCCAAGAAACAGAGACAAAATCTGGAAAGGGGAAGAGATAGTCAGAAATAAGCTGACCTAAAAATTAACAAAACCGTGCCGGGTGTTGGTGGCGCATGCCTTTAATCCCAGCACTTGGGAGGCAGAGGCAGGAGGATCTCTGTGAGTTCAAGACCAGTCTGGTCTCCAGAGCGAGTGCCAGGATAGGCTCTAAAGCTTCACAGAGAAACCCTGTCTTGAAAAACCAAAAAAAAAAAAACAACAACAAAACAACAACAACAACAACAACAACAACAACACAACATGTTCCAACAGAAATGCTGTGTGAAATCACAGCTGAGCAACACGACTCAAGGCCCACAGCATTCTTCCATCCTGAAGTGAGAAAATCAATTCCTTCCTTTAAGGGACAGGAAGGGAATTGAGGCTCTGAGAAAAAGACAGCCCCACATCAAAGCTGGCTGGGGTCAGCTGGTGACAAGTACTCCCACCAGCACCTTCCCAAAGTATTCTGAGTCTGGAAGAGAACCCTCCAAACTCAAGGTACCAGAGGAGGAGGGGCCTGTGAATGTTAACTCCCATGTTAGCACTTACTTGTCTGTTTTCAAGGTCAATCTTGTTTCCCAATACAACAAAAGGAAAGTTCTCAGGATCCCGGGGGCTGGCTTGGATAAGAAACTCGTCTCTCCAGCTGTCAAGGGTTTTGAATGTGTTAGGGGCAGTCACATCAAACACCAGAACACAGCAATCTGCACCTCTGTAGAAGGCCACACCAAGAGACTGGAACCGTTCTTGACCAGCTGTGTCCCAGATCTGCAAGAAGAAAAACACCTAGTCTTCAGGAGGTGCTGGGCAGTGTGGGGTGTGTGTGGGGTGTTGTGTGCACATGTATGGGACTGTGGCAAGAAACGCCTCTATCTACTCCCAGGTATGTGCTCAGAACATGAAGAAGGTACACTTATGTATTCTGGGAACTTTCTAAGGGCTTGATTATTGTGCTTTATTTATTTGAGTGTTCTATGTAGCCACATAGGCCTTGGACTTGCAATCCTTCTGCCTCAGCTTGGTGTTGAGATTACAGGTATGCATTACCACAAGCTTTTCTAGAGGTAGTAGAAATAAAACATTAGTGACTAAAATGAGTATTTCTACCAATGGATTTTGAACAATGTCATTTCTTTAATTAAAAAAGTTGTTTTTGTTCTTAATTTAAAACAAAAGCAAAATTAATTAAAAACCCTTACAAAAAGATCTGGAGAGACAAGAACAACAGAGTAGAAGCTAGCAACAGGTCCCACTGGTTCAGAACAAATACTGTCCTATATGGCCATGTTTAATTTAGGTTCAAATGGTATAAGGAATTCAGAAAAAAAAGAACAAGAACTCAAGCTGAAAATTGGGGCATTATTCCCAGCAAGTTTCTAAATCGACCTTAGCTTCAAACTTACAAAAGTACATTTCATATTTGTCAACTATTAGAACAAAAAAATACAACCCTATGTCAAATGGTCCTTTTAAATTTTCTAACTGAATGTTTTTGGAAGGTAGTGGTAGGAGCAGCACACAGGGCATTTCGAACTCCGAGCAAGCTCTACTGCTCCTTTATATAGACTCCGAAATGAATCAATGTATTTGATTTAATGTGGTCTAATAAATCCTGATCTTTTATGATTTGTTCTTGCTTCACTTTAAATATCAAAGGTCAAAAACAGCCTCTACTTTCCATTTGAACATTTTTATATTTTATGTTTTTCTCATCTTACTCAGATCCTGAGTACACTAGCTACTCTACTTGAAAGTTCTGCTCCAGCCTCAGTAAGAACTCTGAGGGAGAGTTCCTAGTAAGGTCCTATGCTTATGTCCCTTGGGCCTTCTGTGTGTCTGTGCCAACACCACTGCTCCAGTGATTTCAGTTTACCAAGTTCCTGAATGTTCATGCACACCTGACTTGTAGCTTCTTCCTCAACAGTATCACAAATGTAAATGGTAAAACACAGCCACCACTACTCTTCCACGGGACATTACATTTCATAACTCCATGGTTATGAAACTGGTTTCTTATAGCAGAACTCAAAGTGGGCCACACCTGAGGATCCAACTAACAGCAGACCACAACTTTAGTAGGCATTTATGGACTTCCCTCCTCATCATTGTTCCTAGACATAGCCTTAATAACTCCTTACATGGAATTAGGTCTTGTAAGTAATTTGGAGATTATTTAAAGATATATGGGAGGGTATCCTGTGGTGATACGTTGTTTATGAGCTAATAAAGCCTGCCTGGAAATCAGAATGCAAAGCTAGCCTCAGCCATGGAAACTGGGCAGTGGTGGCACACACCTTTAATTCCAAGACTCAATACAGAGGCAGATGGATCTCTGTGAGTTCAAGGCCACCCTGGGCTACAAGAGAGTGAATCAGTCTAAAAGAGAAACAGAGCTCAGGCCTTTAATCCCGGCTCTAGAGAGACTCTAAGGAGCCCAGTGCAGTCTCAGGAGCAGTCTGAGATGTGGTGAGGAGCAGTGCAGCAGAGCTCTCTGTTGGCTTGGCTGCTTTGCTTCTCTGGGTTTTTATTATTCATGTTTCAGTATCCTTACATTCTATGTAGACATGACAACTCAAAAATCATTTTTATTATAAAATTTATTTCTAATTTCAAATTTCATTATTTTCTTATTCTATGAGTGTTTTGCCTGCATGTATGTCTATATACCTCACATATGCCTGGTGTCCAAAGAGGCCAAAAGAGAGTATCTGATTCCCCAAGACGGAATTCAGGTGGTTGTGAATACCACAGTGCATGTGGAGATTCAAACCTGGGTCCTTTGGAAAAGAGCCAATGCTCTTAAACATTTCACCATCGCACCAGCCCATACTGAACTTCAATTTACTCTGTAGGTGAAGGTGGCCTTAAACTTCTGATCCTCCTGCCTACAGCTGCCGAGTGCTGGGATGACAGGCAAGCACCAACACACTCAGTTTTATGTTGTGCTGGGGAATGAATCCAGGATTATATGCTATGTTGTGGACAATTAACATGTGTTACATGATTTAAGCATTGGAACATTTGTTTAATGAAGCAAAGATGTGTTGTATTCTCTCTTGTTTGTTTGTTTGTTTGTTTTTTGGTTTTTTGAGACAGGGTTTCTCTGTGGCTTTGGAGGCTGTCCTGGAACTAGCTCTTGTAGCCCAGGCAGGTCTCAAACTCAGAGATCCGCCTGCCTCTGCCTCCCGAATGTGTGTTGTATTCTTTTATGCTGCATTTGCTTAACTCTGTGAAGCTGTGTTACTTTGCTTATCCAAAACACCTGATTGGTCTAATTAAGAGCTGAATGGCCAACAGCAAGGCAGGAGGGAGAAATAAGCCAAGCTGGCAGGGGGAGAGAATAAAAAGAAGATTAGAGGAAGATCAAGGAACTAGAGAAGGGGAGAACAAAGAAGGTGCCAGCCATGGAGTGAAGCAAGAATACAGAAGAAAAGGAATAAGACCAGAGGCTTTGTGTGTGTGATTTATTTATGAGCTGGGTAGCGGCCCCCCAAAAGAGTAAAAACATCTAAAATGCAAGTACCTGACCATTTCAACTCCATAATACTGAAGGCCTGGACACAATATAAAAGTTGTATCTGGGTGAGGAAATATCTTGGACCAATTCTGAGTAGACACCAAGGGAAGCTAGCTACCTATGCTTCCTTGGCTCCACAGTGCTGGGGAGAGAACCCAGGGCCTCATGTGTCATAGCAAGCATTCTATCTTGCAATTACTCTAGCTCTATGCTTTTGGGTTTGTTTTATCCTTATTCTGTCTTTGGGGGGAGCCCATGGAGGCCAGAGGAGAAAGAACCCATGCTTTCAGTACCAAGAGTTCTAAATCTGAAAACAACCTACATGACTATGCCTTTTGGACTGTGGTGCTATGACTAGTTGGCAACCTCATGCTCCTTCCTTGGCTTCCATGGCCACACTTTTCTTGGCTCCTCTTTGATCTTTTGAGAGTGGGTATCATTATGTCATTCATGTACATTTTTTATTTATCCTTCCTGGGAAGTTGGTATTTCTGAATCCCTGAATTGGCGCAATGTCAGTTCTGGGAAATTCTTGTCAAATTTCATCTTTAATCTCTTATTTCTCCTGAAACTGATTAAAGGTGAGTCTGTGCTGGAAATACATACAGCTCAATGGGAGAGTGCTTGCTGGGCATGTATAGCCCTATAACAAAATAAAAACAGCAGGTGGATGTGCCCTCACAAAGCCAGTTTCCTTTGTTGTAGTTCCTTTCGGCTATGTCCAATCTACTGTTAAATTGAAATTTTCAAAGTTATACAAGTTCTACTAAGTTTTTTTTCTCCTTAAATCTATATTGCCTATTTGTCTGCTTCTCTGCAGATGTAAGAGTATTTTCTCTTTCAAATGAAAATCAGTGTACAGGGCTGTGGTCAGAGCTCTGTGGTCAAACACCTTCTTATCAAGCAGGAGGCTCTGTAGGCTCAGTCCCTAACACTGCCCAGCCCCCAAAGTGGGGAGTTCTAACATGTTAACCAGGTGTGATAGTTCATGCCCACACTTCTCGCCCTTGGGAAAACAAAAGAAAAAGACTTCCAGGAATTTAAGTACAGCCTGTGCTTAAATGAATCAATCGTCCTAGATGACCTTGAACTAGCTGGGGTTGTAGGCCTGTGAAACCAGACCCGGCTCCTTTTAAAATATAAAATGCACCCTCTAAGACCAAGGAGGTCATCATTGTTTTTTTTTTTTTTTTTTTTTTTTTTTTTTTTTTTTTTTTTGTGATGCCTTCTTTCCTTATTTATCTTTTACTACAAGCGGAGAAATATATGGAGCTTACTCCAGACTCTGCCCCAGAAGCTGCCGTCTAAACCCACCCTCTCCTGGACTCTTCTGCCCTGTGGGTCTCCAACTGTGGCCCTTCTGATGGGATGCATTGCAGCAGTGAGCGTGGCTGGGATCTCAATTGTCAACCCTGTGACCCACAGAACCATGGTGCAGTTCCTGCATTTTAGCTAGCACCCATTCCCTCCCTGCTCCGCTGCTGTGGAGAGCACCAGCCCCCCTGCCCTTCCTGCCAGCCACCCATTTTCTGAGAGCTCTGGGGTTGCCATTTGGTTTCCTGGAGTTTGTTCCTTTTGTTCTTCCAAGACAGGGTCTCACTAAGTAGCTCTGGATGTCTTTTACTCTGTAGACCAGGGTGGCCTCATAGAGATCCACAGAACTCAAAGAGATCCTCTTGCCTCTGCTTCCAGAGTGCTGGGATGAAGGACACAAGCCACCATGCCTAGCCAGTGTCAGGTTCTTTCTGAAACCTTGCCCAACCTCTGCAGCTTACTATGCTTCTACAGTTTAACAGTGTCTTTCATCTATTTTGATGTTGTTTCTTTACTTTTAGAAGTTGTAAATTTTCCATATCCTCATTTTTTATAGTAGTTTTTTTCCATTCTGGTTTCTATTCCCATTTTTTTAAAAATGACAGTCATTGTGAAGATTTTTTGTGGCATATGATTTCCTCATATGGCCAGGAGCTATCTTCTCACTCCAATTTTTTTGTTTATCTGTTTGTTTTCAAGACTGGTTTCTCTAATTAACAGCCCTAGCTCTTCTAGACCATGCTGGCCTTGATCTCGGAGATCCGCCTGCCTCTGCCTCCTGAGTGCTGGGATTAAAGGCGTGCACCACCACCGCCATGCTTTCTTTCTCCAATTTTAAGTGTCCCACAAACTAATCTTGGTTTTTGTCAAGAATGACACAAGTTTCTGTTAAATTCTTCAAGATAGACTCCTGTTCTTTGAAGAGTATAAACTTAAGATTCTACACATATGAATCTGGGTCTGGGAAGGAAAACCTTTAATTCCAGCTCATGGGGAGGCTGAGACAAGAGATCTGCAAGTTCAAGGTCAGTGCCTGGGCAGCAGCTACATGATACCTTGTCTCAAGACACTAGTTTAAAAAGGTCTGCAGACACAGCCCAACAGCAGAGCATTTGTCTAGCACTTAACAGAAATCCTAGGTTTAATTTCAAGTTCCCCATTCCCCAAACATACACCAAAAGCAACCACCACACATGTGGGCAGGTAGACAATGGGGGAATGCACTGGGACACCTTTGGCCTGTCTCCCTGTCCTGCTTTACATTCTTTCTGGGCCCTGGACTTGTGGTGTGGATTGTCTGCTTCTCAGCTTCAGCTTCCCACATGGGCAATAACTTACATCCCCTGCCGTTTTAGAGCTGAAATTTATAAATCACCCATCTGTTGAGGGATAATTCTTTTGTAAACTGTGAATATATCTCTATCTAACCTACCCCACCTAAGTAACCTTCTGAATGGTTTAATAAAGAGCTGAACAGCCAATAGCTAAGCAGGAGAGGATAGGCATGACTAGCAGAGAGAGATAGGAACTCTGGGAGGAATCTGAGATGAGAGGGATTCCCCAGGAGACTTGGAGGAAGTTGGACATACAGTATAGAGAAGTAATGAGCCATGTGGCACAATTTTAGTTGGGAACAATGGTAATCTAAGGCCAAGCTTTCATAATTAATTAAGTCAGCTACACCCATCCCATGGCAGGAGCCTCTGATCTGATTCACAGTTTCACTTTCTTCTTTTTTTCTATAATCTGGAAATTATCTTTTCTCAAATTTGGTTTTTTAAACTTTCACTCA